TGGTTCTTAGCAGATGAAGAGTCAGAAAACAAATTTCTGCAAGTTGTGGAGAAATTACTATAAAATAGTAAAACACAGCCTGTTAAGGCCTTCCTAAAATTGGTTCCATATTCTACCATCTGTTACATTAACATTTCAGAAGACATTTCTCTGAGCTGTAAATGCTATTTGTCTGATGGACAAGCTTCTTTCTCTTATATTACATTTCAACAAACACCCTCGTATACAACAGTGGTTAAAAATGCTGTTCTTCAAGGAGCGAGTTAACTTTTCCAACATGACTACTAAAATCATTACAGATTATATAGGATCCATTCATTTGTTTCTTAAGGATTTAGCATTAAACAAAGAAAGGACCAGTGCAATCTCTATGCAAAAACCTGTGTCACATAAAAAAAGAGCAGTGACCTGGCCCTCTAACATGCTGATTACTCAGGACAAGTTCCACACATTTCGTGCTTACTTTTCTAGATGTAGCTTGTTCAAAAACCTAAGGATTTTGTTAAAATATGTGAAACTGAAAAGGACATTAAGAAAAGGGATATTATCAGCATTAACACAGATTGTTGAAACAGAGCTAGAGATAATTTTGTTGCCAAGGAACAATCAGTGTGTAGAGTCAAACACAAGCTATACATGCCTCAAAAATAACAGAGTAAGCAACCAGTGTTATTTGATCTGCACCCTTTGAGAGATAATACATTCTGTGCAACTATTGGCTCCCTTGAACATATTTTTTAACTGTATAAAAGGTTCAGAAGGTGTTAACATAAGTACCTTTATTGATAGGACATCCTAGAGTATCTTCAAAACTGTTTTGCTACAGAAGACTGGAAAAGCAGTGTGAATTGCACAGCACCCAGGAAGAAAGTGGAAATAGATGCTGTAAACATCTTCACTAATGGATCTTTTCCAGTCACCTTAGACAACAGGGTTCCTTTTCATGACACAGTAGCACTAGAGGTACTCTCAGGAAACTTTAAGGAGAAGACAGTATTGTCGGATACCACGTATTGCTACATACAATGGCTGAGAGGTTTTTCCATTAAAGGCAGACAGTGTCGTACCACTCTGCACAACTTTCCCAGAAATGGAAGATCAATTTGTTTTTCTCCATTTTCAGCCATTTTCCGTGTCCCAGGGGAGTTCTAACTAAACAAAGGGAGAAAATAGCTGGAGAAAAGATTGGAAATGAGAGTGACAGCTAAATACTAATTGCATTCAGAATAAATACAGAAACTAACTGGAATCTCAAAATAAAAATTTGGCATTCATGAATTTTGGCATAGAAGTTCTTCTGTCCTGGTGCTTGCTTATACCAGTTCAAGCACGTAATAATTAATAATAGCAGTAATTAAAAAAACCTGCATTCAATTAAGGCAAACTTCATATATTTTAAAATATCAGCTGATGACAACTGAAACCAATGGTTGCAATACACAGATTTTAAGTAATATTTTTCTTCTATAACATACTGTATCTCCAAGCCTTACAGCTAGCAGGGGGATTTTAAGGGCATCTAATTTAAAGAATTCATGGAGAAGTCCTTTTGGCACAATACATTTATATGCCAGTAATACATGTATATTTGATGAAAAATAATTTTATTTTCCTTAAAATCCAATCATTTCTACCAAAAAAAATTGATCTGTGAAACTCTAATTTTATTTGGTGATCTTTGGGGAATCTTTAACAAGTTGATTGCTTTACTTTTGTGTTTACTGTTCATGTTAGATAAAGAACTGTTCCTTTTTATTTAATTTCTATAACCCTACAATTTTTATCAAGCATTGCTCGGATTGTTACTTTGTCAAAGTGATGGCAAAATAGAAAGGGATGGATAAGTGTAAATTCTATTTTTCCTTTAAGTTTACTGTTATTCAGTTTTACTCTGGATATATCCACCTGAGAATGCCAGATAGTCTTAAAACCACAGACAAAGCTCATCAATTTGACTGAACATAGAAATTGTTTTTAATATTCTGATACTCGTAAGTATACCTAACAGCTCACAGCCGAGAGAAAGCAATCTTCTCAAAATTAATATTGTTTGTCATCTACTATGAAAATCCACAGTGTATCTCAAACTCTTATCTTTCATGCTTCAGTTTTATGTTTAAATTAGAATTTAATTGCTCAAAAGGGCTCACATTCTTCAACTCTGTGGCTAAGTTCCCAAGCAATTTCAAGGATTATTTAAACAAATTGAGCTCCTGAGCCTGAGACTTGCCCATGAGATAAAAAAATGGCTATTTCCAATTTGAAATAGGTACATGGCATACATGCCATTCAGAAGGCAGTAAAATCTGCCACTACACAATCATTACAGACCTGCAGATACAGACAAAGAAAGAAAAGGATATCATTTGATTAGCCTCCAACTTTATTAATTTAACTCATCTGGGAACTATCCAGCAATAATTCTTCCAATGAAGGTCATAATTCTTTTTTAATTGTTTCCACCTGGTACAGTACTGACATCAATCCCCTCTTCTCCACCTTTCTGTACTTGGCTCTCAGCCCATCACTCATGCCTTCCCAATCTATCCTTGTACTTGCATTAAGGGGCAAGGGCAAAGAGGTTTGGTTTTTTTGTTGTGTCAGACCAAAAAACCTCCAGCTTTGCTTCCTCCATTGCTGGATACTTTCCCTGTTTTCAGTCCCTATTCCTGTTTATACCTTCTGAGAATTAATTCCTGCCCTGCTCCTGCTGCAGTCTGACATGATGAGCTTTTCCTTATAACCTGCCCCCGCCTGAGATTCTACAAAGTAAGTTGAAAATTACAAACAAGCCCTGACTTTTCTAATTCCTTCTCCCCTTTCCTGCTCCTTTCATAGTCCTCCCCATACATCAAAAAACACCCCCACCCCTCCAAAAAAAATCTCAAACAGGTAATAAAACTCCTTTAGCAGACAAGAATCTTCATTAGCAAATCAATGTACAATCCAGAAGGTTAAGGCCTAGTAACTCAAGCATTCAAAGACACTAAGACTACAAAGTCAAGACGTAACTCAACTCCAGTGCTTAGCATGCTAAACCAGGTCATGTCTTGCCATGTTCCCAGGTACCCTGAGGAGAAAAGGGGAACTGTGGGGCCCTTAAAGAAATTTGGACAAAGGTCATCTCTATTTTCCCTTCCCAACACATTGCTTTTATGACTGAAGCAACTTCATTTTGGAGAGTAAGACTCTAAACATGAAATCTGTAAACACTCTGTTACAGGTCATTTTTCTCTGACACAGTTTTACCTTGTTTCCTCATTAGGGTGTGGATCATGAATGGAGTTTTAATTTTGGAACATAAATGAAGTTTGCACACTAATAAGCACACAAACTGTGGAGTAAATGTGTAGTGTTAAGGCAGTAAGCAGTAAGCATTTTTGGAGAAAACTTAATTTGTATTTTCAATCATAATAGCTAAGAATGATTAGTAATGGTGGTGAATCTATTTATCCAGGAACACAGACTTGGCTAGACAGGAAATTTTGTATTAGTGGGGTAGCATTTCACTATTTATCGATTTATGTCTAAAATAAATGAGAATATGTTCTATTGCTCTTGAGGTGGATGACACGAGATTGAAGTAGGTATTTTAATATCCTGTTTAATGTCAAGTTAGAAAATTAGATTCTTCCTTAACCTTTGAGTTTTAGTCATAAAAAGACTGATGGTTCAGGACCTCCCAGGGTTTGAAGGTATACCATCTATTCAAACGGAAAGGGCTGACAGCCCCAGGGCTGGCAAAATCCTTAGCTGTTTATGGGAAATATATTTCCTGCCCATTGGGTTGTGAAGGTAGCTCAATAGTTTTGAATGAATTCATGTAAAGCTATTTGTACATATTTTTTCAGGTATGCTAAAGAAAGTGAAAGCCTGGTTAGCATTGCTAATAAGATTTATCTGCAGTGATAGATTACACTGAAAGAAAACATATAAGGGAGAAATGGGTCCTATCAGAAATGACAACAAAAGCAATTGAACAGGGAGCTTTATGTTTTGGGGCAAATTCATTGCAGTTCCCTTGTACTTACACTACTGCAGAAGGGAAAAATATTATCTATTCATGTGAAAGGCCCTTCTTTCCTACCTATAATGTTGAAGTCAAAAAGAATCATATCATATATTTACAAAACAAAGATCCCACACTTCCTATTGCTTAAGCAAATTTGACACACCAGTGGTTCAAAATAATAGATTATCTTGTTGCTTTTTTCTGGAACATTTGCACAGCACTACCTGTCAGTAAATTGGTTTAAGATTTAAGAGACTGAATAATAATGGTTCTGTAATTATTCTTCAACATTCAATGCCTTCTGGAAACCATACTGCAGTTCATCCTCCAAAGATAGCTTTGATGTCCATAAGTTTTAGCAAAGCCCTTCTATCAAAAGATTGCCTTTCAGTTCAGTTTCTTTATTTTGATTTGTTGTATGTACCACATTTTCAGCTCAGAGCAAGAAGATGAATGGAAATAAACAATGACACATTTACAATAGGATTTTTGTGGCACAGACCTTTACTTAGATATTGTGGTTTCAATGCAACCACAACACAATGACAAACTTCCTTTTTAAATGACAGATCTAATTGCAAAGTTAAAATTACCCCAAGGGGAAAAAAAAAAAAAAAAAAAAAAGCGTTGAAGACACAATATCTACTGTATGTCTGGATGTGGCTGTATTCCCAACAAAATAATTCCTATTATTCATGAGTTGATTTACACTTTTTATCTCTCCATAACATGCAGCATTTATTTACCCTTACATTTTGAGGCATTGCAGTTTCTGCTGACATGGGTATTTTCCGAAAATAGAACATTACAGCAGTCCTCTGCTAGACATTTAAGCCATGTGTATGTTTATTTTTTAATTTCTTTCTTGAACTTTCTAACTGTGAGCAGGCTGGGAAAGTGGAGTCATGATGAATGAGAGTTTGCTTTAAAAAAAAAAAGGAGAAATGTAGACATTTGATGTAACATTGAAAAATTCACAGCCTCCTACCTTGAAAACAAACATTTCCCGGCGAAGAATAGCCAGAGTGTTGAAGTTCCCATCACAGATGTTAGGCTTGGCTCCAGGATAGGAAGGTTTGTCGCCAGTGGGTGGCCGGGGGGGTTTAGGTTGCCTGTCGTTCTTCCGTGGGTCTGCTGGAGGGATTGAACGATGTGGGGGCACTGTTGGCAGAGGTCTTGTTGGTGGTGGGATCCTATCAGGTGGACCTTTAAAAATATAGCAGCTGGATGTAATTTACATGCTCACCAGTGGCACTCAAAGAAATACACAACAAATACCTGCTGTAAGCAGTGCAAATCCTACAGTGGAAGGGGAATGGAAAATGTGACTTAACATACCTTTCTTGCGTTGTTAAAGTGTATAATGAACAACTACCATAAAACCAAGGCACAAATGAAGAAAATAATTACTTTTCACTATCCAGAATCTTCCTTCCTTATTAGAACAATGTTCCAGTAAAACCTGCAAAGGTTGCCTAGTCCGCCGTCATTTCAGATGAGAAGTAATTCATAGCACATACTTTACCGAGTAAGAACTTTTAAAACAGAAAGATAGTCTTTATCTATTGTACAAAACATAGGAAAAAAACCCCACATGTTCCTAGTAAGATCATCATCATTTAATGAATTTTCAACCCGTATTTTTAACTCATCAATTAACATATGCATATATGTAGCATACCTAATATTTCCTACTGACCCAATCTGTAGACCAAGTAATGTCATGTGCATTAGTGACAGGACATTCCCAGCTTTCCCCAATGCTCCTTGCTATGTGTAGGAGATCTTGAAACTAGACTTCAAATCCTAGGCATCCATATAAACAAAAATCATAATTCACATGCTTTCTTTAATACTCTGAAATTAATTACATGTTATTTTAATTGTTATTTTCCAGTGAGTCTTACAAAGCTGTATACCTGATAATTAAAGGAATTGTTCTGAGGATAAATGGGTTAAAAACAGCTAAAGTGAAAAACTAAAAGATGGAACAGCAGTTTTAAAAAAACATTTTTTTTCTTTCAAATACACTTTCTGTCATAATATACAGAGTTTGATAACAGGTGAAATAACTATTCCACTTATAATTTCTCTACCTGAAAGTCAAAAGGCCATTCTAGACAGATGCTGTTCATAACCCTAATGGCGTACTGAATGACTTGTAATGGGTGTACTGACAGTGCCTTTCCCTTTCTACACATACTACTATGTTTACTTATATTTTCCATGTACAAAAAGATACGTTTCAGCTGGATCAGTAAGATTTCTGGAAACAAGATGAACACTTTAATTTTGCTTATTCTATTTAGGCCTCTCTCCAAATCATTTAAATACATAATCAATTTTTACTTAAAAAAAATAAATATCATTTGCATGACCAGCTTCAGAAAGACATTTGAGTAGTAAGACAACTCTAAAACTACATAAATGGCATTTGAATTTCTGATACTTTTTAAAAAAAAAGTATACTTTTTAATGTACAAGATGGACTATCTAAGGAAATACTAAACTCGCCAAATGGTTGTCATACAATTTAATAAGGCATTTATTTCATTCACAATTTTAAGGTTTGTGACATTTATAATTTACAGTTAATAATGGCATTTCAAGGAATACTGCAGACCAAAGTAATTATTTGAATGTGTGACTTTTTTTTGAGACACATTATTCCAGATCACCTCTTGATTTTAAGGAAGAAAAGGAATCAGTTTGCAGTAGCTCATGTGGGAAAGTTTTTAAACTCAAACCAAACTTTTCATATGCCATTTGGTGGTGATGTCAGATATTACTTCCCAGGGATAAAACATTTCTCCTAATGTATAGCCCACAGCTGTTAGAGCTTAGCAGTTAGTTTTCAGAAAAGTATTCTTGTCTAGCCCTTAAGTCTAGACTACCAACTTATGAGGTCATGAGAAATAACCTTCCTTCCAGCTAATCATACAGGAAAAAACCTAACCAAACAAAACTTGATCAGCCAATCATTTAGAAATTGGTATTTACGTTTTATGAAAATATGTATCAGTGCTTGTTATTACAATATTTTTTAAAGCGTGTTAATATAAAACACCACGGAGGCTGCAGAGTTCGAGTTAGCAGTACAGTAATTCTACACGATGATAGCTGTCCTTTCTAGTAGTAAAGATAAACAAGGAATGACCCTGATAATATTTAATATAAACCTGACAAAACTTTAAACTGAAATTAATTGTGAGTAAAAAATTAAATCCAATACAAATTAACTGGGGAATATTAAGCAAGGCAATTCCAAATGATATGTACTGGATACATAGCATTAACATAGAGATACCACAGATTTTTCAATGTAGGAGAGAAAAATAAGTTATATTTTTAAAGAAAATACCTGACTATTTAACAGATACCAACAGAATCAAAGTCTTTAAAACTAAGAACAAATGCATGTCTTTGGAAATGTAAGGAACAATAATATGGGAGTTAGTGTTACATTCAACCCATAATCAGAATAATGTGATCGGTTTGGCTTTTTTTTTTGGTTTTGTTTCAACTACCTTGCCTTGTCAAACTGAATTCAATTTATGCAGAATTTATTTACATCACAAATGTCTTATATCAGGCCACAGAAAACCTAAACAAACATATTTTTAAATAAGGGGGCCTTTTCCCCCCTAGGTAGTTCAAAATCTTAGGCTGGTAGGAACATTCTTTTGAAATCAATTTGCTATATTTATCACAAGAAAGGGTCTTTCTGGGACCACAAATTTTGTACACCCAGGGAACTGTTTAGTATTATAACTGATAAACTGAGAAGCAATCAATTAATCCAGTTACATAATCTTGGACTACTGTAGAAATAAGCTTGCTATGGTTAAAGGCCTGCATTTCTTAATATTTTCATAGTTTGGGATTCTTTTTTCAGATATTTTATTTATAGCTTTTCAAAACATTTAAAATTACTATTCTAGCTGAGTAAAAATTTGAATGCAAATTGTGAACAGTGAGAAACGCAGTAATAAAGCTTCATCAAAATCTTTGGCCTACTCACAAGAAGGCCTCTGGCATAACAACTGGCAGAGTTTACACTGACAAACTCTTCTGGAGACGTGGTATGGACAGGAGGACCTTAAATGTATTCAAAACTAAAAAAACTTATGTTGCTTAATTAGATTATGACATACCATATATCTTCTGGATGCCCTGTAAATCATCATTAGGTAGTTTGAAGTTGTCAGTTTCCATATACTGGTAAAATGGAGCCATGATTGCAGTGGGATCATTAGAGTGCTCCAAGCCCAAAGCATGTCCAAGTTCATGCACTGCAACTAGAAACAGATCGTTTCCTGTGAAGAGAAGAAAGGAAGAAAAGACCTTTGAAACCATAAGCATAGTAACAGAAATAACACAAGTGGAGGACTCTGCACTTGCAAGACATTTTCACTGAATTTGAATTTTACAAGGTAATGCTTACTAATAAATCATAAGCATAATGTGGTAGCGAAGGCAGCTTTCCCTTTTTTTAAACAAGGAAACCATTATTGTTACATATATTATATGATACTCTTACAGATGCCTTAAGTGTAATCTTTTTTAACTGATGCACACAGTTAATGTAGGGTTCAAGTGTCATACCTCATGTCTAGGCTTGTGTGCAATTTTTGACTTGAAGTTGATGTTGCAGTGAACCTGACTAAAAATGCTTGCATAAAGACATAGTTCCAAAAGGAAAATACCATTGTTGTATGTGTTAAACTCCACAAACTGAGGACTACCTATTTAGGACAAACCCCACAGGCAACTTAGTCATCCAAGCACTTGTAATCAAACACCTACTGATTATTTGTAGATGTTGTCCATTTCTGAATCACCATGACTGAAATCCTAATGAGGAAAATATGGGAGTTGTGCTATCCTTCTCAAAATAAGATACCCTTATTTCTTTTCATTGTGTAACTCCCTTATAAGTGTAGTTGCTTACTTAAGTATTAGAATTTTTTTGGGTTTGTAGGTCTAAAAAATAAAATAACACACTTGTGTTATAGATTGATGCAACCTTTTTGTTTTTCCTTTCAAAAATAATCTTTTCATTTTTTTATTGCAGGGTATTAGACACAGCTATAAGTTTTGGCACTCTGTGAAGCAAACACAAATCAAAGCCAATGGGATTATTTCTATAAAAATTTCAGAGCTGGACCTGCATGGTATTAATTTTGTCTATTTTTATTCATCTAAGACTGAGTTCAGCAAATCATTCTGTGAGTCTTTTGTACAGATTCTGTCTGTAGTCAACCGGTGACATAATGAGGCTTTGGAAAAATGTTTTACAACAGGAGAAAGATTTCGGTTACTTGGAGAGGGTCACAACCAGGATATTGCTCATTTCCACCACCTAGGGATGGGAAGAATCATCCTCCAGAAATGTGTTCCTGTCCCAGTAGCAAGAGAAGTATTCTAGAACAGCAGTTATGCTGAACATGTAACTTTCAGATGGCTGGACTCAAGTGAAACAGGTGTCACCTACAGTAGGTAGTTTTTGTTGAAAAAGCAGTGTAAATAATGCAAGGCCTATACTGTGGCAGTTCTATAGTGGAACAAGAAAATGCTCAGTGTTAACTCAGTGTTCACCTATATTCTGCAAATTCTTCGGGGGTAGACAGTTACTTTCCACTGCTGGCACTTGGTCTAGAATTATAAGTATGATTATAATATTAATAGTAATAATATTAAAAAGTTTAATTTAGCAAAAAAAATTACATATATAGTTACAGACCTTAGTTGATAGCATTTCATTTTGTCAAGTATTTCCTGTTGTTGACACAAAGAAATAAACTTTCTCCCAAGTATATATGAAAGGGGAAACACTTGGCAATAGATGCTTTCATGATGTATGGAACCATGCTGACGTTTGTAAAATAAACATTTGATTGAAAGCATGGAAACAGTTACGACTGTGCTTAGTTGAGGGAGTCTGTTAATGTCTTTCTGATTCTTAATCCAGAAACAGGAAAACTAAATGCTCTTGCTCTTTTATTCAGTATAAGTGTGCAGAAAAATCGTCTTTCAAAAATTAATGTGACATAATGTGCTTTCAGAAATGAGAAGAATTTATCCAATCATTTATAATTATGTGGTTTCCAGATGAAATATTTTCATTACAATATTTTTTCTTGGATACATTTTTTTTTATAGTAAAGCAGATTCTCAATGTGCTCTTGTAACAGGGTTGATAAGCTTGACCATCCCAGTGACGAATGCTTTTGATATCTGAATCTGCCCTTCTATATGCAGTCAAAGCTGATCTTGACATTATCCCATATGAATTATCCACAGCTTCTGTAGCTAACTTCAGCATTGGAAGTGATGCACAGGAGCAACTCTGTAAAGGTTCTGCACTTATAATGGAATAATTAATATAATGTTAAAAAATTCTAAGCTAAAGATGGAAAGACATGAAGGAAGAAGATGTCACTGTACCGTAACTATTGTACTGTGATGTGTCTCACATTATTTGTCAATTATTTTCTGCATTTTTATGAAAGTTAAGAGTTCTAACCCAGGCTTATTAGAATGAAATACTTCTTTGCTTGACATTAGCTCATATACTTAAGATGCAACTTTCTTTTCCTTTTCAGACTTCATGAAAGGCGAATTTGCCTCCTAGACTAGTGCTTTCTACATCATAATTAAGAATATTAATCACTCTAAGTCCTATATTAATAATTGTACTAGTAAGTTGGCCAAAGTATTTACTGAACTATTTTGAAATAGTTTTAAAGTAATAGTATTTGATTCTATCACTATTGTTAGGCTGCTCAGTATCAGTACATCAAAGAGTGTTTTACATGTGGTATTCAACCTCTACTGTTTGAGGTAGGAGTTCTGGGAAGTGAACCTGTTACAATTTCTAAAATTGCAAGAAAACAGTTAGTGGTTAATAGGTTTGGAAGAGTCTACTGCTTCTCTTTATTTGTGCCAGTTACGCAGTGCATTAAGAAGCAATACATCCTTTGGTTATCAGTCCTCACTGAGTCCTCATGAATTTCCATATTTTGTTCCATGTTGACCTTGAAGGTGTGTGAATTACATAGTAACAGGGAAATAAATAAAACACACTGTCATCTACTGACATATCTTCCTTCTGGGATCACAGATAATGGGGATTTGGTAGAGAACTTCCAAAGTACTACTTCTAAAAGACAGTGGGACTATGTCAGAGAACAGATATTATGCATGGGGTGGCTGTTCCTCAGTATGTATTTCTCCCTTTGTCTTTTGGATAGGGGTGGTTTGTAAAAAAAAATAATATATATATATATATTCAGCATCTGACTCTGGACTTAGTGAAAGCCTAAGTCCAACAGGGAAAAAGGCAAAAGGACTATGAAAAATAATTTCCACCTCCTGCAATGCAACTTGTAGCCATGAGGGGTACTATTAAATGTGGTAAAGACAGAGCAGCCCTTGGAGCAAATGGATAACGGGGGAAGGGAGAAGGTCACAGGAAAAAGCTGGGGGAATAATATTCTTGCCTGGGGTGACAGTGATTTAACAGGGAACATATTTTATACTTATAGTCAAATAGCCCCATTATTCATAACAATTTCCATCAAGAGTCATGATTGTCTCCAGGGCATCCTGAATTTAAACTGACCCAAATAACTTAGTGCAGTTGAAGCTGAGGTTTAAACCAGTTCAAGATGTGTTGTCTGAGACCAACGCAGGTAGGACTTACTACTGTGTTAGCTTCTATCCTTTTTCCTTTGCATATAAATAGATTTCTCCAATTAGGCAACAACTACTCAGACCCTCTTTGCTTTCAGGAGCAGATCTCAATGTTACGGTAACTAGCTACTGAGAGCGCAGAATGATAACCCTGAGCGCTCGCTCTTTCTCTCCAGGCTGCACGGAAGTGTACTTATGACTGCAAGGTTGATAGTAGGCCAACTGCAGTTCCTTGGCCAGTGGTCAGAGTAAGATGAAGGAGTGTAAAGGCAAGTAAACATTCACACCAGCTCAGGCTAGCTTTGTTATCGTACTGACATTGGATATAATTTTTAAAATATTTTCAGTTCCCCCCCTTGAGGGACAGAGTCCAAAATGATTCTGTATTTCAGTGTACATTACCCAAGTAGAAACATACATTTTGGCCCACTTAGCAAAATGAAGCACCATCACAAAACTTTAACAAGTCATGAGTAACAGAGTTAAACTAAATATGGCTATGATGACTTTAAAACTGAAAGTTGCCACTGCAGGATATACGATGGTGGATAGTCTCAGTTACATCTTGTTGTATTTGTCAATAGAGTAGTAGAGAAATATTGGAAAATATACTTCACAAGTCCAAAGCTTGTGCATCTCTGTTCTTGTGTTCCCCATTAGCATGGAGATTTGGAATGGAATGGATATAAGCTCAAAAAATTGTAATTGGGTTTTTTATTTTATCTCGTTTGATTTCACAAGGAAAAAGAAAGATACTGTGTGTAAAGAACTAAGACAAAATGATTATTTTTATACTGACACTTTTCTCTGAGGCTATAAACTATTTTAGGCACTAAATCTGCCTGACTTTACAATCATTGCCCAAACTCCAGAATATAAATACGTATTAATATATCAAATATTCAACAGCCAGTACTGTGGAGTATGGTGTATGGGGAAGCCTTTCCCTGTAACTAATACATACGCTATTTTTCATGTCTACAGATAAACAAAGCTAGTATGTTTGTCCACAGCAAGCTACTAAGGAATCCTAGTTGTGAAGATATTCCTTCCTGTTTTAAATGATATGTGAGCTTAATTTATAAGAGCAATAACCTAATGGCTTAGCAAGCCTTTGATTCACCACTTGGCCATCTTTTTAATGCAGCACTAAATGACACCTCAGGGCATGTCACTTGGTTCATCTCCTTGGCACGTGACATTAACTGCTATAACACATTGTGAGCTCAAGAGTTGTCCATCGTTTAAATGCTATGTGACCTCAGTTTTGAAGACTTTCCCATCCAGAGAAAAACAAAGTCTAAAAACTGAATTTCAAATGACAAACTGGAAAACTACCAGTGTGAGTTGTCCATCGTTTAAATGCTATGTGACCTCAATTTTGAAGACTTTCCCATCCAGAGAAAAACAAAAAGTCTAAATGTCGAATGACAAACTGGAAAACTACCAGTGTTTTACACATGGACATATACTGTTTCTTCCAAAGATTATTCTACTTCATTTTTCATGTGATACAGATAGATGATTTCAGAATAAATCCATATGAATTTGAAATGTAAATTTGTACAAGAAAGACTTCTATTACAGCCCTGTTATCAACAAGGCAGTACCTCAAAGTCAA